GTTAGCAGTGACACAGGATGGTGCTGCAGGGAGCCGTTCTCCCACAGCCACCTTACCAGGTGCTGCTGCTGGGGCTGCTCGCCTCCACACCCTGCTTCTAGGTGTTTTGAGTGGTAGCTTCTGGCTTTGCTGTCCAGTCCCTCTGTGCCTGGGCTCCACACCTGCTCTGCCGCTGTGTGTGGCCTGGCTCCTTCCCCCCATCAGCAGTCTGCGGCCTGCCCTCCTGGGACATAGCACCCTGAGGCACCCAGATCTCCCTCCTTTTTCTCAGTCTCAATTTTAATTCAGACCAATTTCCACCTCTGGGTCGCAGTTTTCCTAACTGGGCTGACTCTGGTCTTCTCTTGGTTTGTGAGAAATGCTTCACAGAGACTCACTCCCTCACAAGCTCTCAAATGCCATGCGCTTGGAGAGCATCTGGCCTCCAGCCCACAGGGGGTTTCAGGTGCAGTATTGTGGATCCTGGGACAGCAGGTGGGCAGCAGGCTCCTCCTCGCTGCGCCCCACACCTGAGAGGCAGCCGAGTGCGGGCCCGTGCCAGCTCCCCTGTCCTTCCTGCTCCTCACCCTCCCCCTCCCCCACACTCACGTCTTTGTCATTTTTGGGAACTCTGTTCAGAGCAGCTGCACCCCAACAGGCTGTCCTAGTCCCGCTTTCCTCCTTCAGAAGCAAGCCTTGATCCTCAGAGCCAGAGGGTGCCACTGATTAGGAGTGTGACACCATCTTTACTGCAGGAAACCTGGGGGACCCGGTGCCGCCCTTCCTTGGGGAAGCCCCAGCCCCCAGCACAGCCGCACAAGCTCCTCCTGTCACCTGATTTTGTGGCTGTGACATGATTCATGGACATAACACATTCCCTTCTGCAGAGAGCCCCCTGGTAGGCTCGCAGGAGACTGCTCTCTGAGGACTTCTGCCCCAGACTGCGTCTGTCTACCGGGCTGCACCCTGGACATCGACAGTGGCTCCTGGAGTCTGTGGCCCATGCCCTGCTGGGCACGGTGACTGAGCACAAGTGTGGGGCACCTGAGGGTTGGGTTCCTGGGAGTGGGAGCACCTCTTCCCTCTGGGGACACTGCAGGATCCCTGCTCTGCGGGAGGACAGCCTCCTGAACAGCAACCTCATGCCACGCAGGACAATGGCCCTGCAGCTGTAGCGTTCCTGGACTCCTGGGAAGGAGAACAGGCCCAGGCACCTCCCCCTGGTGGCATGTCCTTGGCCCTCACCTGGGCGTCTCCTCCACAAGCTGCTGTGAGGGGCACCGACCGCCTGGGCTCTGTGGCCTCTCCAGAACAGCCCAGGCCTGTTGTCCCAGACACACAGCGTCTCCTGCCTGGCACCCTGCAGAGGCTGCCTCCTTCCCCTCACCTGTCCTCCCAGAGGCCGACCCCCAGGGGCTGTCAACCCTCTCACCACACCAGTCACCCTGTCCCTCTTCAGTCATAGGTGCAGACCCCAGAGCCTCTCCACCTGCACTGTCCACAGGTGGTTATGTGGGGACCCAGTGGTGTCACCACCAGTCCTGGGATCAGAGTATTCTATGTGACAATTCTGAACAGCTCTGAGAGAGGGCGTTGTCTGTCTTGAACAGCAGAAAGACCTGAGATCATGCAGATTAGAGGTTTCTCCTTATTTTATTTCATATTTGTAGAAAGACTCAGATTGGACAGGGAGATTGGGAAAGCCTGAGGCCTTGACCAGGGAGAAGAGAGTAGGGGAAAGGGGGCCTGAGGGGCAGGATCCGGCGCCTGGGGTCTGCGGAGCAGCTAGCTCATGTGTTGAACAGGAGTGTCACTCTAGTGTGAGAAATGGGTTCAGGGAACCCGCAGCCGAAGAGCTCCTGAATAGTGTGTTCCTAGCACAAGCCCTAACTCACCTGCTCTCTGAAAGTCGTTCTCCAGTGCTGACCATGGCTTGTGGGGTGATACTGCTTACACACCCACACACTCACACACACCACACAGCACCTACAACACACACATGCACATGCTCAAGCACATATAGGCACACTCACATATGCACAGCACACACACCAGAAGCATGAATGAATTCTGCACACTCACACCGTGATCACACCGCACACACCACACACGAGACCACACTGCACACACCATCCCCGAGACCTTACACACATCACATACATGACCGTGCACACACACACTCACACGCCCACACCCAGTGTTCCCAGAGTCACACCCACAGGCAACCTGGGTCTGGCACTCAGGACAGAGGGGGGCCAAAGCATCTTCCCCTCTGCAATGCTAGAGTTCTCCCCTTCCACGTCCACTCTAAGGGAGGACACAGGGGGTAGCAAGCTTCCGTTCCTAACCAGGGAGGCAGAGGCACAGTGATTCGCCTCCTGTTTTCAAACACCATTTGAGATGTAAGCTGACTTAACTGAAGCACAACTCTCGGTCCTGTGCTTTAACTCAAAAGCAATTTGCTATTTTCCAGGGTAATTCAGTTAATTTTTAGGTAATGTTCATGTTAGGTCGGTGGCAGCGACTTGGTGGCGACTTAATGGCACTTCCACTCGGTTTCTCCTCAGACCCTTCCCCTGTCCCCTCTGTGGGTCTGATCGAGTTCCGCCCAGGAGTGATATCTCAATAAAGCCTGTTCAGCGGCCCTTTTAAATCTGCCAACTTTGGTTGCTGCCTGCCCAGCCTGATCTGACAGTTCATTTTTCACATTGTCATTCATTACAGTTTTTCAAAATGTAATTTAGAAGGCTATTTGTCAGCTGCTTTAGAGGAAGCAGCCTTAGGCACACGGCAGCCGCGGTCACCTGACTGACAGACAGGTGGTGGGCCAGGGTGACGCCTTCCTACGCAAACCTGCTGATTGCCAGCGGTGGTTCAGAAGCCCACGGGTCGGGCCTTAGTCACAGTACTACCCGTGTCTTTCTTGGCTTGCGATTTGAGCTGAGGCTATCACGGGGAGTCTTGCACATACTAAGGAGGGACAAGGGAGCTGGCTTCGCCCAGCTGCCAGGAGTGGCCTCTCTTCTCGGGGCCTGCTTTCCCCCCACCCCCGGTTGATGAGCTGTCTCACACAGCTTCGCCTCTGCCCACACTAAGGCTCTCTCACTTTCTCTTTGGATTGTCCTCACGCATAGGGATGGTTTCTTCCAATAAATCCCCATCTCAGGCGAACGCTGAGCCGAGATATGCTCCTCCATACTTCTCCTACTCTGCTCCAGCCCAGGGCAGTCATTTCTGCTTGATGCTTCAGAGACCACATACGTGATGTTTTGGAGCCAAAGATGCAGGTGTACTGTCTAGTACTGCTGGCCAACACAGGGTGTCATAGAAATGAAGAAAGGCCACTATACGCTAATAATAAAGTGGACAATTTGCCTCTCAATACCTTTGACTATATCAAAGAGGTAGGCATTACGGCTATATTAGAATAAAAAGAACAAGGATTCCTTTAATTTAATCAATGTGAAGGAGTTTCAATACTGCTGTGTTTTCTACTCTGAATTTAGATATTTCTTTCCCATCTGTAGTTATTTTTATTTACAGACATAGAGGATTCAGAACACTGTAGAGAAATAAATGTAAGGCTAGAAGACCCACTGGCCCAGGGCTCCTGGAACAACCCCTCCTTGGTGGGGGGGTGGCGGCTTTTGACCCCTTCAGGGAGTCTGCCAAGGCCGTGGCTGAACAACACCAGACAGCAGCTAGGCTGTCCCTCTGTGCTGTGGCCAGTACCCAGCCATAAAATTTCAGAGACTCCGGTGTCAGCCGGAAAGACCCCATTGAGGACCCAAAGCCCAGCGTGCTGAGCAGAGTCCACAGGGGTCCTCCCTCAGCTCTGGCCCCAGGCTGTCCTGTGAGAACTGGGAGCCAAGTGCCTGGAGTAGCCCATGCTAAGGTCTAAGCTCCCTTTGCAGCACAGGTCTGACTGCAGGACAGTGGACCTGACCTCAAGGGAGTGACCAGATTGCCCTTCTAACCTCTGATGCCCTGAATGTTCTCACCACTGTGGAGGAATAACAGCAGCTCAAAAGCCCAATGTGTCCAGAGACCTCGGCTCCATGTTCCTTTCATATCAATTTCTCAGGTCTCAGAGGGGCGTCTACACCTGACCCTAACACTGTGGTCATCTTAACAGCAGAGAGCCCCTTAAATGCAGTGAACTGAGGTATGTGGATTGCTAGACAGTGTAGGGGTTAAGAGAAGCTTCCAACCCAGAGTGACAAGGTTATAAAATGAATCTAGAAGACGGTGGAGAACAAAGGTGGTGCAAGTCCTAAAGGATCACAGCATGTCCTTCTTACATCCATCCCATGCAGCCCAGGCCCTGATGACCTCTCCCAAAGACTGGCGCTGACTTAGAGGGCGATGAACATGGGCAAAGTCACAGGGATTCAAATGGTTCTGTGTTCCTGTTTCTTTCTTGACCCCACATTGCTTCAGCCATGCTATTTGTGCTGAGTGATCATTGGACAACCAGTTGACCCCCAACTTTCTGTCTCACAGCCCAGGCCTGCCATGTGACCTGGACATGGAATCCATGCCCCAGAACTCCACTGACTTCCTCCTCCTGGGCCTCGTCACGCGGCCAGCACTCCCTGGGCTCATCTTTGCCGTGGTGTTCTCCATCTTCCTGGTGGCCGTCATGGCCAACATGGTCATGGTTCTGCTCATCCATGTGGACTCCCGCCTCCACACACCCATGTACTTCCTGCTGAGCCAGCTTTCCATTATGGACACCATCTACATCTGTGTCACTGTCCCCAAGATGCTCCAAGACCTTCTGGCCAAGGAAAAGACCATCTCCTTCCTGGGGTGTGCACTTCAGATCTTTTTCTATTTGACCTTGATCGGAGGGGAGTTCTTCCTGCTGGGCCTCATGGCCTATGACCGGTACGTGGCCGTGTGCAACCCGCTGCGGTACCCTCTTCTCATGAACCGCAGGATTTGCTTGATCATGGTTCTGGGCTCCTGGGCTGGCGGCTCCTTGGATGGATTCATGCTGACCCCTGTGACCATGAGTTTCCCCTACTGTGGGTCCCGAGAGATCAACCACTTTTTCTGTGAGATCCCAGCGGTTCTGAAGCTGTCCTGCGTAGACACATCACTCTACGAGACGCTGATGTACGCTTGCTGCGTGCTGATGCTGCTCATCCCCGTTTCCATCATCTCTGTGTCCTACACGCGCATCCTCATCACCGTCCACCGCATGAACTCCGCAGAGGGCAGGCGCAAAGCCTTCGCTACCTGCTCCTCCCACATCATGGTGGTGAGCATATTTTACGGGGCCGCCTTCTACACGAGTGTGCTGCCCCATTCCTACCATACACCAGAGAAGGACAAGGTGGTGTCCGCCTTCTACACCATCCTCACCCCCATGCTCAACCCCCTCATCTACAGCCTGAGGAATAAAGAGGTGGCCTCAGCCCTGAGGAAATTGCTGGGGAGATGTGCTTTCTCCCAGAGAATAAGACCAGGGGATGTGTCTAGGAAACATTAGGGGACCGAGGGCATCCTGCTCTCGTGGCCAGTGACAGATGTCCTTGGTTCTGAAATACGTTCAGTGTCTTTCCGGCAGTCTTCAGTCCTCAGCTGGCTCACCAGCCTGTGCAAGTGTCACCAGGAGCGGAAATGAAGCTGGCAGAGCATCAGAGCCAGCCAGCTCCTGTGCGGATGGAGCAGCAAATGTTTTCTAGCCAGTGTTCTCAGGCAGGTGGCACTCTGGCCCTAGGTGAGCACCCCTATGGAGTGCCCTGCATGGATGCATGTCACGTGGGGTCCTGATCCTTCATGTCCCATTGCTAACCAACCTTCACATGCAAATTGCAAGGAACTTTTGCCACGTCCTGGATGATTTAGTTTCAAACAGTCAACAGGGTAACATAGTCTGTGATGCTGATGGTGTCTCAGTCTTATTTAAAAGTTTTGTGAACATGGGATTGTGTTTGAGGTTCTGTGTTTTCAATCACATTTTATCTCTTTATTTTCTTGGCTATGAATTTACATGATAGATTCTTACCATGCCTCTCTTCCCATAGTCTAGGGCTTAGCCAGAAATTAATTATTGTTTGCTTGACTGGTTGATTGAAAGTTGAAACTGCCTTCAAGTTTTAAAGTCTAAATCAACTTCCATTGATATTTAATAAAGTGGTAACAGATGAATGCAGAATGAGCACATGAAGACCTCTGCCTAGCTATCGTTACGTCCTCTAGGCTAACGGGCTCTGTGTTCTCTCTCTTCGCCTCTCTGGTGACATGTTGGTAGAAACGCCTTTCTTTTCCAATTAGTTGAGGTTAGATGTGGTGTTTTGATAGGTGGTCAACTTGAATCCAACTTCAACTGACCAGAGGACAGGGAACCTTCCATGACCTATTATTTCACTTCCTTCTGTGCATAGGGGCCTCAAACTTGAGAAATAAGACACCTTGGGGTTCACTGGTGCTCCTTTCCTCTAGCAGCACAAGGCTTAGGAAAAATTGGACAATTTTCAGGTGATGTGTAGCCGACAAAGACTAACCAAAGTCTACTCCGTCCTTTGCTCCCTGGCACCAACTTGGAGGCAGAGGGAAGCATCCCCCAGCAGCGCCCACCCAGGTGGACAGCTTCCCTGCAGTGATCCCACCACTGGCCTGCTCTGTCTCCCAGGTTCCCGGAAATTTTACTTTATCCTGAAGTTAAACAAGTAACAAGCAGGAAAGGGATGGAAGGTTGGCTGGAGGAGCATTTCCCGGAGCGCGAGGCAGCCTGGATTCATTTGGGAAAATCCTCCCCCGTGTTCCTGTTCAGCCTGGTGAACACCGTGTCCTGAGGCCCGACAGCCCTTTCCTTCTCCTTCCTCCAGCCTGCAGCACCTCTGCTGCCCTTTCCTTCCACAAGGTCACTGCATGCTGCACTTCCAGTGTCTTCCCCACTGGGACTCCCTCTCCTTCTTGTTTCCATGGAGTCCCGGACATCACTCGAGGCCTGTGTGAATATGTGCTAGGGTGTTTGTTCTTGCATATTTCCAAGATTAATTTTCTTGCATGATTAACAAGGGCATTTAACCTACACATTGATTTATATTTCAAAATATTCAAAATACTTGAAAAGCAACGTGGAAGAGAAGAGCACTTGGACAATCCCTGCAGAGGTCATGGGCCTTGCTGGCTGGACATGGAGGGAGGTGAATTCTGCCATGCTGTTGAAGACACAGGTCAGCAAACTCGGGGCCGGTTCCACAGTGTCACATTGTGAGGGCTGATCTACATGAACACTTCCCAAGGATTTTCTCTAAACAACTGGAAAACCCATCATGCATGGCACGTGGTGGGTGTCCACTCCTCAGAACCAAAGATGAGTCACAACCTAAGAGGGAGAGCAAGAGATTTTTTTCCAAGTTTAGTTCACCTAATTTCCATATGAGTATATTTGTGGTCACCAGATTTTCCTCTTTATTAAAGATGATGCATTAACTTGGAAATGACAATTACAAAAACCTAAAATCAATTTTAATATTATCAATTGCATACTTGCAACAGGACACACACCATTCCAGATGATGGCAAAAAGACAAATAAAAATATGTCCCTATATTTCAAATTATATTCAATTGTATTACCTGATCCTTACAAAGTTCTATGAGGTATTTAAAAAATAATTAGCCCCATGGGACATGAAAAAGCTGATGTTCAGACAAATTATCACCTCACTTGAGCAACAGGCACTCAGGGACTCAGACCAGGACTTGTGACTTCTGGTCTGATTTTCACTGTGTGCAGACCTTGATATTAACTGGCAGACAATTGTCAAAGGAGAGAGCAGGTAATGCAGGACGCAGCTGCCAGTTTGGTCGTCCTGATAATGGCCTGGACAAAAGTCCCCCAAGAGCAAGGTGCTGATAAAAGCCATGATTAATTCTTGCCAGATGCCAGGTGAACTGGTCTACTTAGAGCCTGAGGACCAATCTGGAGAGAAAAAAGACCTTCTGTGGGGTCTTTCTGTGTGTGAGAGATGTGAACATGAAGTGATCTGAACTCAGGCTTCCACATATTGTTTTACGTAAGTAAATATTTTTATTTATGCAATGTAAAATTTTAACAGTGAAAAACACAAAGCACCTGTATCCTCTAATCTATAAACACTAAGGGAGATTTCAGAAAAGCAGTGGTCAGATAAGCTGACTAGAGACAGTTATGCAGACGTTGATTCAGAGGGAGAGGACAAAGCAGGCCTCTGTGGCCTGGGGGGTGACAGCACAGTCCTAAACCAGACCTGTGGCTGGCGCGCTGCAGTGAGGCGCCACTATGAGGCCTGACCTCGGCCATCAGTCCCGACTCCCACAGGAGTTCCTATGTACCAGGGCCAGGCCACAGTGATGGCAGATAGCTACATGGCCTCCAGAGCTTGACCTGAAACACAGAGTGTTTCCTGAGAAAACTAGGAGCTGAACCAGAGGAAGCTTTGTTCATTATTTTTTCCGTTGAGATTGTGTTGAGGGCAGAACTTCCTAAATCTGACAGACCAGCAGGGTCTTTGCCAACCCCCCCTTGCCTGCTTCTCTCAACATTATGGAGACGTGGAATGGTGGGTTCTGACCGGCTGCAACAAACCAGCTGAGAGGAGCAAGGTGAGCCATTCATGCACACACGCCTCTGCGCCAGCCTGACCAGCCCACAGGCTTTCTCCTGTTCCTTTGATCAGCCCTTTAGGCTCATTTGGTTTTATTCAGTTTTACTTATCATGTAACAAAAACCAGGATCTTCATTTTGTTCTGCTTCCCAAGCACATAGGCATTTTCCTGACATAGAATATGCTGTCAATAAATATCAGGGTAGTGAACGAGTGGAAGCCACTGCATTTAGAAGGTGTGGCACTCTATGTACACATCTCTAGTTAATAAATTATTATTATTATTATTATTATTATTATTATTATTATTATTATATTCCTTTTTCCAGGCCATCTTGGGTTTAAAGGGCAGCATGGAAACTGAAGCTCAATTAAATTAAATGCGCTTCACCAGCTCACATGGAATTGTATGTTGAGGGGAACTGGAGTCGTGGCTCAGGGGTAGAGCACTTGCCTGGCATGTGTGCGGCCCTGGGTTCGAGTCTCAGCACTCCATATAAATAAATAAAAGATCCACTGACAACTAAAAAATATTTTAAAAAAAAGAACTATATGCTGAGCTAAAAGCTAAGAACTGTAGTTACCTTCTGTCCAACTTCACTAGTTCTTAAGTGACTTCAGATGAAGGGACACCACTGGCTTCTGCCAGGTTCCTCCCAGGGGGTGCTTCAGACAGGTGGTGGGGGCTATAGGGGGCATGGGCTCCTATAGCTCCTATAGGTGCAAGCAGGAGGCTTCTCTGAACACAGGTAAGATGGGCCGAGGCCTTGGCTTCTGAACAGCTGACGGGGCTCTGCAGACAGCGGCTTTCCCTCCTCCCAGGCAAGCTACGGAATCTCCTCAAAGGGAGAAAAGGTAGCTCACTCTGACCCAAGGCAGGGTTGATTGCAAGTAATGGTTCTCATTTGAAAATAATGCACACTGAGTATTTCTAAGAAATCAGCTATGGCATGTGCCATGAAGGTACTGAGTGCTCTCAGCCTGAAGATGGAGAGTGTCAGACTGTGTCCATGTGGCTGTGGATATGAAGTACACACACACGCCACCCTTTTCTCTTACAAGCACAGTGAAACTGTCAAACCATGGGGGATTGGAGACCTCCCTTGTGTCACAATGGCCACTTGGAGCACCGTGATGTGCTGAAGCCTAAGTGATTCAGTGTGGGTGCAGCCGACTATGCTCAGTCTCCTGGCTTTCTTATTGGAAATAACGCCAAGAGGAGTTTTTAATAGTACAAGCTGCCACTCATCTGATTATCTCCGTATTAAAATTTCCTAGTGAAATTTATGCTCTTTCAGGTTTTTATACTGACTCAATGCCCACTCCTACCAGCAATATTTGCAGGTTCCCCCTTGGTCCCCAATGTTGACACAGTCCTGCTCTCACTAGGGCTCAAGCTGGCCAGACTGCAGGACCCATTTCTGCTGCAGCCTCTCCACCCTGCACCTGGGCCTCTGCAGCAGAGGAACAAGCACCCCTGCTTCCCAGCGTCTTGCTGAGCAAACTCCTCATGCTCCTGCTCTGGGGAGGAACGGCCTCAGGTGCCAGCCTGTGCCCGTGGCCACCCTCCACTGATGGCCTCACAGGGCACATGACGGAGAGGACAGGAGGTGGCACCAGGCCAGTAGTGGCAGACAGTGCTGGGGGAGAGTCCAGGGCTGTGTCCATGACTCCCCTCGGAGGGGCTGAGGAGACCACCCGGCAGCAAAGGAGGCCCATGTCCCTCACTCCCCCAAGATGTGACGCTTAGAGATTAACTCTGGAGACTGAGGTCAGCCCAGCAGTGAATCATCAGACTGAACAAGAGTCCCCTATAACTGCTGTCCATGCCCAGGGTGGGGAGCTGGTCTGCACCTCTGAGCACCCACACACTCAGGAAGCCTGTTGGAAAGAGCGGTGTGGTGCGCTGCTAGGACCAGACAGGTACCATGTGAGGACACTGGATTCAGCTCACACAGCTGGCCACTTCCCTTGAAGGATTTTCCAAATGCTGTTTAAGGAGGGAAACCCTCTCCTCCCCATTTGAGGATATTTGTGCTTAGGAAAATACAGTAAGAAAAGGCAACTAGGTCAAAACATATGCTAAATTAATTCATAGTTTTAGTTTTGTAAATCATTGACAGGATTTCTCTAGTAGCATTTCAATTTATTCCACAAAGTTTTAAATTAGATTCACACTTCATGCAACTTTTTTTTCAAAATGCCTGTGTTGCTTTTCCTTCTGTCAGTTATAAGTAGTAGTCTTGGTCTCAGGGGTTCTTGCTTAGAGTGAACTCTGCCAGCTCCTCCCGACACACTTTGCTGAAAATCTCCTTCAACGCTCAGGTCCCCCAAAGCAAATTGGATCTCACAGTATGTAATGGTGGGGACGTTGGTGAAGGGCTGGGAGCAGGCCCAGAGGAGAGGCACCCTGTTCCCTTGGAGATAAGAAGCTCTCCTTCCTTGGTGACAGAGGCTCGATGTCAGATTTCTGAGCTAGGAGTTTGCAGGGTCTTTCTCAAGGGACATTGGGTGAGAAAAGTGTGTGTGTGTCCTACCTCCACATGAAGCCAGGCACCTGAAGGCAGGTGGCTGAGGACTGGGGATTTCCCAGGAGTTAGGAAGAATTTTCAGTTTCTTAAAAAATTGACTTCTTTTAGTTACTTTATTAATTATTGACTATGTTTGAAGGAAAATGAAGTTTTCCTGATTATAGCTTTATCCCTTGTAGTCATTTAACCTCTACCAGGTGATTTGAACTTAACTGAAGCATGGAGGATACTTGCCCCTTGGGCATAGGTAAGAGGAGGAGCAGAGATCAGGGAAGATGGAGGCCAGGTCCTAAGCCTTGACTCAGCTCTGCAGCTAACCCTCTCTGAGCTGAGAGGTGGTGATGCCTCAGTCACGACCTTGTCGCTGGGTTACAAGTGGCCTCGTCAAAACCTGGGACACTGAGGACTGCATAGGTGCAGGCCAATTTATTATTAGCATCTTGTCTTGCTTTTACTTAAAAACTGAGAGAATTACTTATTGGAATGTTAGTTTCCTGTGGATATTATGCTGTCACAAACCCAGCTTAACATGTTACAGTCCAGGAGGTCAGAATCCCAAAGGTGGCCACACTGGCTAAACTCCTCATGCTGGGGGAGCTGTGGTTCCCTCATGGGAACCCATTTCTGTTTGGTTTTTGAGTGGCCGGACATGGTTTGTCGGACCCCCAGAGCTGGCCCCTGCCTGGGACTTCCTGAACAGCCCCCTCTACTTCAAATCCATGGACTGGATCAGTCTGGGTCCAGCTTCCAACAGCACCCCTTCCTGCTTCCTGCCTCCCTCCTTTCTTCAAAGGCCTTTTGACTGCACTGAGTCTAGAAAGTTCTCATCCCAGATCCATGAGTTAATCACCTCTGCAAGGTCTCTGTCATATACAAAAGTGTGTCCTTTGGTTTCAGGGACTAGCTATGGATGGGATTATAGGAGGAGGACTCTTCTGCACACAACTGGTCTTAACACTTGCTAAGCCTATTGCAGCTTCACTAAACTCATTAAGGAGGAACATTAATCATAAGTCTCATGGCATTTTTTAAAGATACAATTGTTTCTGGTAATAGGAGGGAGATGAAAACTTGCTGTTAAAAAAATCATGCATAACAATAACGATCTTCTTTTTTTTATCTATTATACAGGAGGAATTCTAACTTTAACCTTTTTCCCCCACAATACAATCTCTGGATGTCTAATAACACTGGGGGCTGCAGTTCTCTTTAACACAATAACTGGGGCCTGCCTGTAGGAAGAGCTGTCTTAGCAAGTGCAGGTGCAGAAAACAAAGGAAGGGGTGAGTTCCTCTTGTGTAGTCAAGAAGGTGGTCATCTAGGGACTGTGTGAGCAGGTGTCTGGATTTTAAGGCTCAGGGAGTAATTGTCCCAAATTTATATACATTAACCTCAGAGATTTAGGAGTAAATTTGTATTAGTGTTTGACCTTCGAAGACTTATTTTATTTGTCCCCTTCCCACTCTCCCTTGTTTTGGGTTAGCATTCACATATCAGAGACAACTTCTGGAATTTGGTATTTTGGGGATTGGCGTATTTCACTTAGATTGATAATCTCCAGTTTCATCCATTTACTGGCAAATGCCATATTTCATTCTTCTTTGTTTCCTAGAACTAAGTCTCTTTAGAGAACATGGAGGGATCCTATTTTATGACAACTTTATTTTGGAGTAAAGACAAGCACAAAGGCCTGGTATATGTTTTCTTGTTTGTCTGTCTTGAGTTTCATGGTGCTAGGGATGGAGACAGGGCCTCTGCTCACTAGGCAAGTGTCCAACCTCAAACTGAACAGGCTCAGGCCTGACATTTGTTGAAAATGTGTTTTCCATTAGCACGTTTTCAAAAAACAAACTTAAAAATATTTAAAAGAAATTATCCAAGAAATGGATTAACTTAAAAATCAAAAATACATGATTTGCATTACATTAGTGATGTGTTTAAAAACCATCCATTTAATGATTTAACAAGTATTTACAACACACCAGTCATTCTTCTAGATGGTGAGAGTGGTTAAAAAAAAAAATAGGCACCAATCCTCATCCTCACGGGGCTCACTTTCCAGAACCAAGAGTCCAACACAAGCAAAATGAACCTGTAGTCTGTCCCATGGTGCTAAGAATCATGAAGAAATACAAAGTCCTGGATCAGAGCCACCTGCTGAGAAGGTGGCCTTTGCACCATTCCCTGACACATGTGGAGATGGCCAGCTTAGACATGCAGAAGGGCTCAGGCAAGGGGAGCTGGGACAGGGGTCCTGGGCTGGGATCCTAGAGTGGGGACAGAGGACCAGCAGATGACCTCCTCAGCCCCATGACCAGCACATTGCAGGGGGCAAGAGAGGACTTCAAGGTAAGAGTCAAAACATGATGGCCCCTGAGCACAGGCTTCAGCAGAGAGTGATGTGGGGTGAATATATCCCCCAAGGTCACTTTGGTTGCTGTGTTGGAGGGGGACTCAGGGCGAGCAGAGAGGATGTGAGAAAGCTCCTGGACAACCCAGGTTAAAGATCATGCGTTGGCCCAGCCTACTAGCTGTGCATGGAGAGATAAATGTGGATTCTTCACTTGAACTAGTTTATGCATTTGGATTGTTTCATTTGTGTGGCAAAGAGAGATAAAAATCTCTCTCATTTTTTATGGATTAGCTTTATTAATTTTTTTGGAGTAAAAAGTAGAACATCTCTTTCCTGTCAGTGGGTTTTAACAAAAAACATATTGTAGACAACATTTATTTTCAATTGTCCTTTGGAAATGGTATGTCATTTTCTTTTTTATTTCTTTAGTACTAGAGAGTGAACTCAGCCATATCTCCAACCCTATTTTGTATTTTATTAGAGGCAGGGTCTCACTGAGCTGCTTAGCACCTTGCCATTGCTGAGGCTGGCTTTGAACTTGTGATTCTCCTGTCTCAGCCTCCCACCACTCAGATTACAGGCATGCACCACCACACCCGGCTCTGGAATGTAATTTAAGTTAACAGATCAGGATTCTAAGACAAGCCTTGACCATGTGGTCCTTCTGGGAGGCCTGACAAAAAAGACAGCAGCCGTGACTACTTACAGAGTAATTTGAACAAATGGTTCAGAGAAAAATTTGTAGAGACAGTCTAATTTAATTTCAGAATCCATTTTTAGCAGTAGTCTATTGAGTAGGCTTTATTGAGCCTATGGGTCGTGTCTCACGGACAGCAGATAGATGAAAATTTCAGACAGTGATTTTGTCCTTGTTTAAGTAAATCACAGACTCACAATAATGTAGAGTGAGCAGAACAGACGTGGCGAATCTCTACTCCAGGGCGAGAGATCTCTACCCTTGCCATCCTCTGCACACAGCAACGTGACCACAGGCAGTGCCAGGAGGGCCACTTGCCAACAAGAAACAGGGTCACCTCTGCAGCTGCTCTGGGATGAGTTTGCTGGTTTGTTTTTTCTAGCCCCTGCCCTGGAAAATCCCTCCACGCCAGCCCCCGTGCAGAGTGGTGTCCCCATCCTGAACTAGCTTCTCCCACCTTCCTCCTGGTCCTGAGCTGTCCCTGATCCCCTGGAGCTGCCACCGGCAATGTCAACAGGAAACAGAACGTCTACCTCCGACTTTGTTCTCTTGGGGCTTCTGGTGAGCACGGAGGCCACGGGGATTGTTTTCACGGTCATCTTTGCCATTTTTGTGGTGGCTGTCACTGCAAATGTGGTCATGATAGTCTTGATTCAGGTGGACTCCCGCCTCCACACCCCCATGTACTTCCTGCTCAGCCAGCTGTCCATCATGGACACCCTTTTCATCTGTACCACTGTCCCAAAGCTCCTAGTGGACATGGTTTCTACAGAGAGGACCATTTCCTTTGTGGCCTGTGGCATCCAGATCTTCCTGTACTTGACCATGATTGGTTCAGAGTTCTTCCTGCTGGGCCTCATGGCCTATGACCGTTATGTGGCTGTCTGCAACCCTCTTAGGTACCCAGTTCTCATGAACCGCAAGATGTGTCTTCTGCTGGCTGCTGGTGCCTGGTTTGGGGGCTCACTTGATGGCTTTCTGCTCACGCCCATCACCATGAATGTCCCTTACTGTGGCTCCCACCAGATCAACCATTTTTTCTGTAAGATCCCTGCAGTTCTCAAACTGGCCTGTGCTGACACGTCCTTGTATGAGACCCTGATGTACCTCTGCTGCGTCCTCATGCTGCTCATCCCCATCTCTATCATCTCCACTTCCTATGCGCTCATCTTGCTCACCGTCCACCGCATGCGCTCTGTTGAGGGCCGCAAAAAGGCCTTCACCACGTGTTCATCCCACCTGACTGTGGTCAGCATTTTCTATGGGGCTGCCTTCTACACGTACGTACGTGCTGCCCCCGTCATTCCACACACCTGAACAGGACAAGGTAGTGTCTGCCTTCTATACCATTGTCACACCCATGCTTAACCCTCTCATCTACAGTCTCAGAAACAAAGATGTTATGGGGGCATTGGAGAGGGTGTTTGCCCGCTGTTCCCCTGCTCAGAAAGTAGCCACAGTTGAGGCGTAGAGACTCAGTAACACGAGGACGGGTCCTCCAGAGGTCACTCTCCATGTTCCCAGTTTCATCAAACTACTTTTCAGCCATCAAAGTCTACTTAACAATTAAGAAGAGTCCTCTCCAGAACAAATACCATCCAACAAAGCCCCTCATAGGCTGATTAGAGCTGAGCCTCATTGTCAGAAATTTCTTCGAAGACCTCAGCTGATGCCCAACCCCAGCAGGACAACAAGCTAGTCTGTCCAGAGAAAACTGCACTCCCATTCCATCCTATCTTGTGTTGGTGAAAGGGGACGTCGAGAGCGCTTTCAACCAGCTTATGTTCCAGGCTACTTCGTCTTACACCTTGGGACTTGGAATCTAAGAAAACACTAAAATTTCATAGAGTAGAGAAGTTTCTGCCAAGCTAATCCCAGACAAGGGAGATAGTACCTCTTGCTCCACACACAGATTAACCACACTCAAACTTCTGTGATACATTCATACAAAGAATAGAATGACAACAACAACAAAAAAGAATAGAACAAAAGCAAGAACAAAAACCCAACTAACAAACAGGCCCTGAGTAGGAATGACTGGAGCAGGGCCTCTGGACCCCACTAATGAACATCTACTCCTGCAGCAAAAGCAGAGAATTAACACAAAGTCTATAGATATCACACCTTTAAAAGGTCTCAGTCTGTAACAATCTAGGACATTTTGGCAAGAGAAGATTATGCCTTAAAAAGTCCCAAACATAAGAATTGACGAGAAATTCATACCAATAGATGCATAAAACTCAACACATCAATACAAGAAATAGGAAAAAACAAGGTAATGCAACAGCTTCTAAGTTCATAATTCACCTACAACTGTCTCCAAAGATATTGAAGTGGAGAAAATAACAGAAAAGTTCATAAGCATGATTATAAAAATGATCAATGAATTTCAAGAGAACACAGAAAAATAACTGAATGAATTAAAGAAGTAAATACAGGCTATGAATGAGAAATTTAAAGGAGATTGATATGTTGAAAAATAACCAAGCAGAAACTTAGAAATGAAGGACACAATAAATCAAATAAAATGTTTACTCAAAAGTCTAATAGAGTAGATCATACTGATGACAGAATGGCAGATCTAGAAGACAAAGTGGCTGGTCTAGAATATTCATACAGCATTATAAAAAAGAAAATAAGTAACTATGACCCCAGTAAAAAGAACTCTGGGCCAACATTAAGAGAAAAAATTTAAGAATCATTGGAATTGAAGAATATTGTGAGAGGGAGGCTAATGGCTGTAAGTCCTCTTCAGGATAATAATGACAGAACATTTTTGAAATCTTGAGAATGAGATGTACATCCAAATATAGGAGGAACTCAGAACCCCAAACAGACAAGATCAAAAAAGAACCTCTTCACTACACATTATAATTGAAATGACTAATGTGCACAGCAAGTATAGAATTTTAAAATCCTCAAGAAAAAAAATAAGTTCACAATTAGAGGAGAGCCAATAAGAATTACTTCTGATTTCTCAGAACAAGTGCTAAAATTCAGGAAGACTTGTAATAATGTGTTTCAAACCCTGAGAGAAAATAACTGTCAATCCAGATTACTATATCCAACAAAGTTATCTTATAAAATAAAAAAAGGAAATAAAAAATTCTAACATAAGCAGAAACTAAAAGAATTCATGACTTCTAAGCTGGCCCTACAGAAAATACTTAAAGAAATATTACATGTAGAAAAACTCAAAAAACAAATCCCTGAGTTCACAAATGGATAAATCTCATTTGAAGAATCACAGGCAAATGAGAAATAGGACAAATTATTCATTAGAAATAATAAAAGTAGCAGGAATTAATAAACATCTCTCAGTAATAACATTCAATTTAAGGGGTCTCATCTGTCAAATTAAAAGACATAGGCTGGCAGAATGGATTAAAAAACACGATCTAAGTATACATTGTTTACAAGACACTCATCCTTATTGGTGAATACAGCAACAGACTGAACATAAAAGGATTAAAATTTATATACCATATAATTGAAGCCCCAAACCATCAGGAATATTCATAAAGAGCATATTTCAAGCAAAAACTTAGAATAGACAAAGAAGGTCACTTAATACTAGTAAAGGGAATAATCCAATAATAAGATATATAGCTAGCAAATTTTTATGCCCCAAATGTTGGTGCACCTAATTACATATAACAGACATTACCAGAATTAAAGATATATAGACTCCAGTACAATAATACTGAATGAATTGAACACACATCACTCATCAATTGATAGTTCATTATTCTGATTTGTGTATGAGGTGTCCCCCCAAAACTACAGTTAGTACAGGAATATTCCGAGGTGAAATGATTAAATTATGACATCTGTGACCTGATAAGCCCATTCTACTTTGAATGGACTGTGTGGTGACTATGGGTAGGAACTATAGGTAGTCCACCTATCTATAGTAGTGTGGCTGCAGGAGTGAGTCATGGAGCCATGCCTAGAATGCTGTTCTTCCTAGACCCCTTTATCTCCCTCTCTTTGCTTTCTGATCCCATCACAAACTGTGTGGTGTTCCTCTGCTGGTCCCTTCCCCCATGATGAGCTGCTTCCCCTTGGGCCCAGAGCAAGAATCAGCTATCTATGAACTGAGACCTCTGAAAACATGAGCCCCAAATAAACTTTTCCTCATCTAAATTGTTCTTGTTGCACATTTTGATCACAGTGGTACAAAATCTAAGTAAAGGTCCAGTTATAAACTCAGTAGAGAATCTTCACACACAGAAAATATTATAAATGAAATAGATAAACAGATACTATAGACTATTTCATCTAACATAGTTGATTTCTCTTATCAGATGCTCATGGAATGTTCTCAAAATTTGACCATATTTTAGATCACAAAGCAACTCCTAGCAAATATAAAATATCATTATAATTCCTTGTATCTTGTCTAAACATAATCGAATGAAATTAGAAATCAACACCAAAAATACTTACAGAAGCCATATAAACACGTGGGCATTGGACAGTGTTCACTTTTGAATAATGAATGGGCGATAGAAAAAAAATTAAAGGAGAATTTTTTTATAAAATCTTAGAATCAAATGTGAATATTGATAAAACATCAGAAAATCTGGAACATTATGATGGTGGTTTTAAGAGCAAGCATTATACCTATGAATGACTGCATAAGAAAATAATAAATATCCCAAATAAAGAACCTACTATTGTATCTCAAGCCCTTGAAAAGTAAGAACAAACCAATTCCAAAATCATTAGAAGAAAGGAAATAATTATGTTCAAAGCTGAAATCAATGAATTACAGAATAACAAAACAATTCAAAGAATCAAAAAAACAAAGAGTTGGTACTTGGGGGGGAAAAAAAAAAAAGCTTGGCAAACTCTTAGCCAAACTAACAAAAAGAAAAAGAGAGATGGCCACCGTGCCTGTGCAGGGCTCCAGGCCTCAGCATCAGAGCAGGACTGGCTACTCACCCACGCAGGTCTCCCAGGTGCCCGAGAGGGACCACCAGCATCTGCACCAGAGCAGGACTCTTGGCCGCCCACCTGCACAGAAATTCCAGATGCTGCTCCCATGCAGGACACCTAGCCACTACCACCCACAGGAACTCCAACCACCACTCCCATGTAGACCCCCATGTACCAACATGGGGCTCCCTCACTCACCTCCATCTTGGGACTCTGCAGCCACTGCCAGAGTCCCCTATGCACAGTAGCCTGCCTGCACCTGGAGACATCACACAGGCTCTGAAGACAGCCGACAGCCACAACACTGCCCGTCACAGAGCTACATCTCTGAACACATAGCCAATGCCATTGTCCGGCTTCCCCCTCCCAACACGACACCCACCAATGAAAGCAGCCACCTCCATCTTGGACCATCTTCATCACCATCTTTAGTTGGGGCATCTCCCAGTTTGGAACACGAGCTGGGCATGTACCATAGTTCCCAACACCCTCTCCCCAGCAGCCACTTGTGTGGGCTCTCTCTCTGCCCAGCAAGGAGGTCCGCAGAACAGGGTAGAGGAAAGTGTGGCTGCGGAGTCACTATTCAAGACCTCTGGAGACCAAGCTGGAAGCATATCTGATTTTATTGAGCAGTTACCATGTATATATACTCAGGCAGCAGCTAGGCAGATTACAGGCAGCCACCAACACAATTTCTAGCCAACTGTCCTTGCAGCGACCAATTGAGGAGCAGACCGTGGAGCAAGCGCTGGGACCACAACATGTGGCCTCACGCTCCAGCGCGTGCCTACAGGTAAGCATCTGCCACTCGTGTACCTAGCACGAGGAGAGTGGTCTGCCACTCAGGTGCCCTAAGTATGCCACATATTCAGTACTCCATGCACCTGTCCCCACATCTCCCCACTCTGACTGTGCCACAAGGACTTCAGCCAGCATTGTTGTTTTTCATTCAGGGGACTTTACATGGTTACATAAGCATCTCACAACACAAGAAAGTATTATCACTATAATAACCAGTAGGGCCAGGGTAATAGCGTTATAAGGATTAGTTAATCTGGCTATCAGGTTTTCCCAATGTTCAGTCAGTCCCTGGAAGAAAGAAGAGGTTGTCAAGATAGACACCTTCGTCTCATTGATTTTGACAATTGCCTTAGTAAGGTTTTGTATAGTCATAACATAGTTAGTATCCCAAGTGCCCTTCATATGCAGAGAAAAACTGGAGAAGTCTAAGGTTACATTGTTAGACACAGCATATTAGGTGACACAAATGCTATGAAACTCAGGGTCACAATTGAGCCTCTGCAACATAAACAGAATATCTAGTTGTTCCTGGTGAGGTCTAGTTCTTGCTGAATGACTAAAATAGCAGCTCAGGTCAGTTTATTTAAGTCATTTTGGATGGCAAAGGCTTCTGCCATGGCAGTGGACACATTGTTCACAGTCTGAGCAGTCTGGATACTCTGAGTGAAGGAAGCAGTGACAGTGGTTGTGGCTGCGATGGTGGTCACAGGGCAATAATCCCAGGGATGA